CACTCTCCTGATTGGCTGGTAGGCATAGCAGGGGGGCGGTCAATTTACATGTTTGTTTATTATTAGGTAAGAGTCCTGGTTGATACGGGAACATTTTCTTTCCCCCCAGTGCTTCTGGTAAACAAATTTGGTGTTTAGTCTATTAAGAAATTACCCAGATTGAATGTATTAAAGAAGTGTCCCTGAGGATAAGAATAAATTCATAGAGCTAGACAGCATCTTTAGTCACATTTTGCTTCTTGTCCTCTGCCAGGTTCTAACCCTGAACAAAAGTCATTATCTTTCAGGACAACATTACCTAGCTTGACTTCTGTTAAATTGGCTTGATTTATATTTATTCAAAGTCAGTGACAAAGAATCCAGACTGTGCAAAGAACCAATTTTACTAGTGGAAAGCAGTGGTTGCAATTTTAGAAGGAGAAACCTGAGCATAAACACAGAAAAGAAGGATGTCAGAGAGGGTTAGGTGAATGTCTTTTAGGGTACCTCTTTGTACTAAAGTGCTCTTTTTGGGGGCATGAAATTTGACATTTTTAAGTGTAATAATATCTATGATGTTAACACCTTCAGAAAATTTGGCATATGAAGTTTTGAAGCTTGTTGTCAATACAACAAAGTAGCATACGTATCAAATCGCATATATGTCAACATATGTGTAACTCCATCTACTGGAAAAAATCCGCATTATTAACCGGTACACCTAGCACAGTGGTTACGACAGCATGTAACACACCTAGTGGGTGCTTGACAACTAGAAACACATCCCAGGAAACCCACACGCTGGTGCCCAGGGCCGGGCATTGGCCAGAGATGCAGATTCTGAAGCCAGTCCCAGGACAAGTAAGAGGGCCCAGGCCTGCCCCTCAGCTCTGTTGCCTTATCTCTGCCAGAGGCTGTGCATGTACTTGTACGGGCCTGGGAGCACCCAGAGGGCAGAAGCCCTGCCTGTGCTCTCTTCTCTGCTCATTTTATCTGAATCCATTCTGCCTCCCCCCCCCCCCCCCCAGGCCCAGCTAGGAAACAGGGACAGGCACAGAGGTCACCTCTCCAGCTTAGGGCCACACGGCAAGTCTCAGGAGGGAACAGAGCGGGCGCGCAGGCCTGGATCCCTGGCCAGTGCACACCCTGCCATCTCCCTCTCTTAAGTGACACATTAATAAGTATCTTAGCCACACACCGTTATCTGCACTGCCAGGCCACCTCAGGGACACTTTTTGAAATACCTCAAACATTGACACAAGATGTTTCTGTCCCCAAGCCAGAACCTCAGGGGGACAGCATAGTCCTGTGGCTCTAACCTCTGCTAATCGGGGTGACACCTGAGCCAAGCTCCTCCCACATGGGACAGGCGAGGACCCTGGGCAGCTTGTCCGCCAGGGGCAGAAGGCGCGACAGGTCAATGGGTCTCCTCCCCCAGGGCAAAGCACCCAGCTGGCGTGATGGGTGCGGAGCCAGCTGAGGACCCGCGAGGAGATGGGTGAAGTGGTTGGAGATCTGATCGGAGGTCTGACCTGGGTTTTACTGGGTAAAACTGATCATCTAATACATAGCTAAGATGTGTGGAGCTCTTAGCAAGTTCCAGGCACTGCGCTAAGAACTATACGTAACAACTCACTACAATTTAAATGTCTCAACACCCTGTAAGGCACATACCATTACTCTTTCCACTTCACAGATGAGGAAGCCGAGGACAAGAAAGGTGAAATCATTTGCTTAATTAAAGTCACACCGCTAGTAAAGGGCAGAGCTTGGATTCAAGCCTGGCACCCTGACCCCCGGCCCAAGGGTTTTTTTTGTTTATTTTTAAATCCTCAGTCAAGGACATTTTTTCATTGATTTTTTCAAGAGAGTAAAACGGAGGGGAGATTTTTTTTTATTATTGATTTTTAGAGAGAGAGAAAGGGAGAGGGAGAGAGAAACATTGGTGCCTCC